AAATAGATATTGTTTTTCTGAAACAAGCCAGTGAAACGTGAAAAAAATGCACCTTCTGGAAGTGAAAAAAAAATGTTAAACTAAAATCTCGACTTGTGAAAATGAAAATTTTGAAATGTGGAACGGTTTACTTCAAAAGAGTGAAATGTGATTTTCAATAAAATTGAAATAGATGTGATTTTCATCAAACAAACTAGTGAAAAGTGAAATGTAGGTTCTGAAAATGAAAAACAATATGAACTGAAATATCAACTTGTGAAACTGGTTTATTTTTCTTGAAATGTGTGATAGTTTGTTTTAAAAATGTGAACTAATGTTTAGAAAAATGTGCAATTGAAATATATGTGTTATTTGTGAAACAAGGTCGTGGAAAGTGAAATGTAGGTTCTAAAGGTGAAAAATAATATGAAACCGAAATGTCAACTTGTGAAATCTGTTATTTCGAAATGTGGAGTGGTTTATTTTAAAATAGTGAAATATGTTCTTTAAAAATGTTCAATTGAAATATATATGATTTTTCTGATACATGCATGCTACCACCAAGCATGAAATCGACTGTACCATCTGACATGCACAGAGTGTATTGCGGTGTATCTCATCTGAAAAATGATTCACGTGTTATACACTATTCTAACGCACGAATCTTGAGCATTCAATGAATGACCCGGGATCTGCCGCTCTCAGCCGGTAAGGCGCAATTTCCCATTTTGCACGGCATATATAGGGATTGAAAGAAACAAGAGAGGAAAGCGAATTAAGAAGAAAAGGACGACACGAAGAGATAACGTGGCCCATGGTGGACCGTAAGGAATCGTTTGCCATAGTTCCGGCCGGCCGAATCACTCACACGCAACAGCTCGGCTCAGCTCACAAGTCACAACACACACGCGACCAAGTGAGTGGCTATGGCGACGGGAATGCCAGAGTGCTCCCCGGCCTTGGTGCTGGCTGCCGGCCTCGCAGTGCTAGCCATCTGCTGGTACCTTGCCGCCTTTGTTGTCGGCCGCGGCGCCGCTGGAGCGCAGCGGTACCCGCCTGTGGCCGGAACGGTGTTCCACCAGGTATACCACCTCCGGCGGCTGCACGACTACTACACGGACCTGTTCCGCGAGCACGCGACCTTCCGGCTGCTCGCGCCGGGACGGAGGCAGATTTACACCTCTGACACGGCGGTGGTCGAGCACATCCTCAGGACCAACTTCGCCAACTACGGCAAGGTACGCGATGCAAGGTAGTACAGTAACTGATTTGGATGAAGAGAGTGATCAATACCTCAGGATATCCGCTGACATACATATATGCGTGTGATGTTTCTGAACGAACACAACCAAAGGGCGCGTCTAACTACGACAAGACGAGCGATCTCTTCGGAGACGGCATCTTCACGGCGGACGGCGACAAGTGGAGGCAGCAGAGGAAGATCGCCAGCTACGACTTCTCCACGAGGGCCCTCCGGGACTTCAGCGGCGGCGTCTTCAACAGGGACGCCGCCAAGCTCGCGCACATCGTCTCCGGCAACGCGGCCGCGAAGCAACCCGTGGACTTTCAGGTCAACCTGAACCTGCCTCTGGTTAATTCCTTCCAGGACCATCCCGCGAAGCCGATACGTGTATATTTGACTGGTTTCTTGGATCAGGACTTGCTGATGAAAGCGACGATGGACTCCATCTTCACCATCGCCGTCGGCGTGGACCTCGACACGCTGTCGGGGTCGGACGAGGGGAGCCGCTTCGCCGCGGCGCTAGACGACGCCAGCGAGTTCACCCTGCTCCGTTTCGTCAATGCGTTCTGGAAGGTGTCGAGATTCCTCAACGTCGGCGCCGAGGCGGCGCTCAGGCGCAGGATCGAGGTCGTCGACGAGTTCATGTACAAGCGCATCCGTGGCAGGGCGGACGAGATATCGGACGGCGGCAAGGCACACGACACTGCTAATATGTTACGCTTGAAACTGAAGCTCAGGTTCTTCTTGACGTTGATGACTTGACAGGTGGCGAAGGATGACCTGCTGTCGAGATTCATACAGGCAACCACCGGCGACGCCGGAGAGGTGGACTACAAGCACCTGAGAGACATGATACTGAACATTATCATGGCCGGCAAGGACACGACCGCCGGAGCGCTTGCCTGGTTCCTGTACATGATGTGCAAGCACCCGGAGGTCCAGGAGAAGATAAGCGAGGAGGCTGCCGTCGCCGGCCAGGCCACGTCGTCCATCGACGACTTCTCCAGGAGCCTCAACGACGAGGCGCTCAACAAGATGCACTACCTGCACGCCGCCTTGACGGAGACGCTTCGGCTGTACCCTTCGCTCCCGCTGGTGAGTCCATCCATCTACCACGAATCGACACACTCTAAACTTGTCGGGATTCCATGGAAGATTACAACTGCAGATTTTATTTTATTTTTGAAAAGAAGGCAAAAGATTTACCGTTCATTAATTAAGTACTTAGAAGAAAATTGTAGTTAATTAAAACTTCGGGATGGAGGGAGTGAAAAATAGTCTTGCTAAATCTTAGTCGACTGGGACTTGGTTATGCCTTAATCGATGCTATATTCGTAAGATCTTACATTGAGGTCCGTATAAAAGTTTCTTTTTTTTTCTTTCTTACATGTTATGTCGCTGTTAATGAAACAAGTTTTAGTTGACTGAGACCTAGTCACGCCCAACGAAAAATCCATCCAGAATGTGCCCAAAGTTGATACCCGTAAAGGCAAAGAGTGTTAGAGCATCTCCAGCCGCGCCCCCAACAAGCCCCCCCAGGCCACTTTTTCGGCGCCGGCGCCAAAAAAAGGCCTAGTCACGCCCCCAGGACGACGAAAAGCGTCGGTTCGGCCCTTTTTTCGGCGGCCGCAGGCCGAACCCGGCGTGCTGGGGGGCGCCTGGGGCTCCGGCGCAAGGGAAAAGCGCGGCTGGCCCACGCCGTTAGGTGAAAAGTCAAGGTTTTCTTCCCCGACCGCCTCCCACCCCCCGCGCTCTCGGCCGCAAGTAGGTATATCCCGGCTCCGCCCCCGCGCCGCCCCGCCGCTCTTCACCGGTAGATAGCCATTCCCCGCCGGAAAAAAAGCATAGGTTCGCCGCGACAGCCCCTCCGGCACCAGCTGGGCGTTTCCGGCCGCCCTTTCCGACCGCGGAGGGGCAGTTTAGCGGCGGGTGCACGCCCACCGCGCGCAAGGTGTTCGGCGATTTGCCTGCCTCGGCGATGGACTCGGATGACGAGGAAGTGCTCGCCGCGCTGCTGGAGGAGGAAGCCGAGGCCGACGTCCAGGAAGAAGAGCATCTCATGGTGCTCGCCGCCCTCGCCCAGCTGCTGGCGAGCAATGAAAAGTCGCGGCGAGGTGGCTCGGCGCCGGGGCGGGTGAAAGCAAAGAACCGGCATCGTCTCGAAGGCTACTGCATTCTCTACTCCGACTACTTCGCCGATGCTCTACTTCACGGCGACAGAACATTTCGGCGCCGTTATCGGATGAACAGAAAACTTTCCTCAGGATTGTGAATTCCATCCGGGAGTTTGACAACTACTTCAAATGCAAGATGGATTGCACCGGTAAACTTGGATTCACCTCCATCCATAAATGCACGACAGCGATAAGGATGCTTGCATACGGAGCTCCCGGTGACTCACAGGACGACTATGGGCGCATGGCCGAGTCCACCAGCATAGAGTGTTTCTACAAGTTCTGTCGGGTAGTGGTGGCAGTGTTTGGACCGCAATACTTGAGAACACCCAATGCGGAAGACACTGCTCGGATCCTAGCACAGAATGCAGCAAGAGGATTTTCTGGGATGCTTGGAAGCATCGACTGCATGCATTGGAAATGGAAGAATTGCCCATTTGCTTGGCAGGGGATGTACAAAGGCGCCAAAGGCGTTTGCAGTGTGGTACTTGAGGCGGTGACCACACAGGACCTCTGGATTTGGCACTCCTTCTTTGGTATGCCAGGAACTCACAATGACATCAACGTGCTGCAGTGCTCTCCTGTCTTTGCCAAGCTTGTTGAAGGTCATTCTCCTCCGGTGAACTTCGAGATCAATTGGCGGCACTACAACAAGGGGTACTATCTAGCTAATGGCATCTATCCGAGATGGTCGACATTTGTCAAGACCATCAAAAACCCTGTGCCTGGAGGCAAGAACGCCTGGTTTGCGAAGATTCAGGAGGCTTGCAGGAAGGATGTCGAGCGGGCATTTGGTGTGCTCCAATCTCGATTTGCTGTTGTCCGGTACCCTGCTCAAACCTGGTCGAAAGATCAAATGTGGGAGATCATGACCTGCTGTGTCATCTTGCACAACATGATCATTGAGAGCGAGCAGGAAGAGCCAGTGTTTGACACTGAACCATACCACCGGCAGGGTCCTCTTGCCCAAGTTGATCACCAGCTACCGGCAACCTGGACTGCCTATCTCAGTATGCGTCAGGAGATTCGAGACCCACAGGTGCATCATCAACTACAGCAAGATCTGATAGAGCACCTATGGAGGCTCAAGGGCGACACCGCGCGCGACGTGTGATGAAATATGAGTTTTTATTTGTTCAACTATATAATTTATATTGAACTATTTGTTGTTATACTATTTTGTTGAAGTACTTAAAATTTCTGTGATAAAATATGGGATAAAAAATTATTTATGTTGATAATTGAACCCCGAGCCACGGCGAACCACGCCGAATATGGGCCTATTCTCGCCTATATGGGCCTTTTTCGCCGAAATGGAGCTTTAAAAGTGGGCCAAAATCGATGACTGGGGGCGAGCTGAGGGCGACTACTGGGCGCAAAACCGTCCCCAGCGCCGAAAGAATCGCCGGCTCGCCCCAGGGGGCGATTTTTATGCGTCCTGGGGGGACGAACGGCTGGAGATGCTCTTAGACCTGAGCCACCAATGCAAGCAAATCTCACAGGATACTTAGCATGACCATGACCAACTCGTGGACTAAACCGAGGGTGGGCAGAGTAAAACTCAGTCCAGATGGTTCTTACCTTCAAAACAAAGGGGTGCAGGCATGATTCTCAGGGATTCTCAAGGCTCAATAATTCTTAGTTCATGCAGACATCTATTCACATGCGCTGATGTGTTAGAAGCAGAGCTATTAGCTATAAAAGAGGGAATTTCATTAGCACTACAATGGATTTACTTACCCATTGATGTCGAATCTGATTGTTCGGAGGCTATCTCGATGATCAAGGAAGGAGTTTGTCAGCGCTCCCACACCAGAACCACGCCCTGGCGCTGACGAGCCGGGCCCAGCCGACAGCGACTCGCTGCGCTTGTCCACTGCCCAGAGGCCGACCCGCACCAAGAAGCCCAACGAGCGCTACACTGGGCCTAAGTGGGCCCAATAGGCCCAACTGTGTTGGTACTTAAGCAATGGCGACAAGAGGATCGGTATCCAGTGGATCAGGAACCTGGCGGCGGCACGAACCCTGGTCCCTAGCTGTTCTTCCCTTCCCCAATTCGTGTATCTGAGCTTGTAACCGAATCAAAGGACAGTCTACTACCAATAGATCCTTCCACCGCTATCCATACCCTTACATCTGGTATCAGAGACCACTCCCACCTCCTTCCCCGCGCCGATCTGGCCCAATTTGTAGAAACCTGATCCCTCCGCCAAGCGTGTATCTGCCTCATCGCCATGGATCCATCCATCCAGTCCTTCCTGGAGCGTCTGGAGACCACTCTCAAGGAGCACACCGCCGCGATCCACGCCTCCAACTCCAAGATCGACGATCTCGTGGCTTGGTGCCTCGATCTCGAGCGGCGCGTCGCCGATCTGTCCGATGCGGTGACGGCACTCCTGCGTGCCCCACTGCCACCGCCGCCACCAGAAAGGGCGCCCCACCAGGCGCCTTCGTCGAGTCATCCACCGCCTGCGACAACCGGCACCCACATCGGGGCCGCGTCTGGCGCGACAACAAATCAACAAGGGCCCGAAGGCCATGGCGTCTACAACATCCCACGGGGGCCATCAACGGTGTCCTTCCTGACACCGCCACCGCCCCCGACAAACGGTCAGTACGACGGCCCCCCTTCACCTCGTGCTCTTTCCCCATTTGCGCACGCGAGCCAGCTGCTCAGCGGCCTCGGCCAAGCGCACCCCTCCCTCCAGTTCCCACAATTCACGGGTAACAACCCGAAACTGTGGAAAATGCTTTGCGAGCAGTACTTCAACATGTTTGCTATTCTGCCTTCGTTTTGGGTGCACATGGCCGTGCTGAATTTCTCGGGCTCGGCGTCCATCTAGTTGCAATCCATTCAGAAGCGGCTTAGTGATTTTGACTGGGAGTCGTTTACTGCTCTGTTATGCACCCGTTTTGGCCGTGATCGGCACCAAACGCTGATCCGTCAGTTTTATACTATTCGGCAAACAACTACAGTAGCAGATTACATTGAGCAATTTGAATCCATTATCAATCACCTCAGTTCGTATTCTGACACCATTCATCCTTTTTACTTTCTCACTCGTTTTGTGGAGGGCCTCCAGAAGGATATTCGAGCAGTGGTGTTGGTCCAAAGGCCACCGGACCTGGACACTGCTTGCGCTCTGGCACTACTTCAGGAGGAGGTGGCCGATGGTGCAGCATCTACCAGCAGGCGCCCACAGGAGACGCCAGCCCGAGCGGGCCTGGTGCTTCCCCTACCTCCACCACCTGCCCGACCGGAGCCAGCCACAGTGGCCACGACTGTTGTGGATCGTCGCGGCACTGACGCCGCGCGAGCCGACACATCCAAAGTCAAAGCTCTTCGGGATTTTCGCCGCGCTCGGGGATTATGCTTCAAGTGCGGCGAGCGCTGGGGACCCGAGCACGTTTTCCCAAGCACCATCCAACTGCATGTGGTCGAAGAGATGCTTGCTCTTTTGGGAGCCGATTCCATCAGTGACAACGAGGGGGACATCCAGCAAGTCCATGCCATCTCACGGCCAGCTCTTGATGGTGGCGACTCACCCAAAGCTTTCCAGCTACTAGCCACCATGCAAACAGAGAGGTGTTGATCTTAGTGGACAGTGGCAGCTCGACTTCTTTCATCAACAAGAGACTAGCTGACCAACTTACAGGTTCAATTCCTCTGCCTCGACCCTCACGGGTTAAGGTAGCTGACGGGGGCGAACTTCTCTGTACAGAGTCCATACCATGCTGTCAGTGGTCGTCGCAAGGACTTGATTTTGTCACTGATATGAAGATCCTACCACTGGGTGTATACGATGCTATCCTTGGCATGGATTGGTTGGAGCAGCACAGTCCGATGACCGTTGACTGGAAGCACAAACATCTCCAGATTCCAACACCAAGAGGTCCAGCTCACTTGTTTGGCCATGAATCAATGTATACGATGCTATCCTTGGCATGGATTGGTTGGAGCAGCACAGTCCGATGACCGTTGATTGGAAGCACAAACATCTCCAGATTCCAACACCAAGAGGTCCAGCTCACTTGTTTGGCCATGAATCAAATTCCACCACCTGTCATGTGATCAACAGTGCACAGTTGCAGCAGTTACATCGGCAAGGATCACTCATGCACATCTGTTTGCTATATCCTATCAACAAGGAGCAGGCGCCCAAGCAAACAGAACCGCCGGAGCTTAAGCAACTGTTGGCTGAATTCGAGGATGTCTTTGGTGAGCCACACGGACTTCCACCTCGACGTGCCTGCGACCACACAATACCATTGATGCCAGGAGCACAACTAGTCAATATTAGAGCCTACCGCCACAAGCCTGAACTGAAGTCGGAGATTGAGCGACAAGTGCAAGAATTGCTACAGTCCGGAGTGATCCAGCGCAGCCAGAGCAGTTTTTCTTCACTGGTCATCCTCGTCAAGAAGAAGGACGGCACGTGGAGAATGTGCATCGACTACCGCCATCTTAATGCGATGACTCGCGTCAGTAAATTCCCGGTGCCTGTCATTGAAGAGTTGCTTGATGAGTTACATGGCGCGCGTTGGTTCTCCAAATTGGACCTCCACGCAGGGTACCACAAAATCAGACTGGCCGAAGGCGAAGAATTCAAAACAGCCTTTCAAACTCACTCGGGCCACTATGAATTTAAAGTGTTGTCCTATGGCTTAGCGGGAGGACCGGGTACCTTTAACGGGGCAATGACAAATACGATGCATCCCCTTCTGAGGTTCTGTGTACTGGTGTTCTTCGATGACATCTTAGTGTTCAGTAAAACTTGGGAAGAACACTTGGACCACGTGCGCCAGGTCCTCACCTTGCTGCGTCGCGATCAATGGAAGGTCAAGAAGTCTAAGTGTGAATTTGGACAACAACAACTGTCTTATCTGGGGCACGTCATCAGCTCTCAGGGAGTAGCTACGGATCCAAGTAAGATCCAAGCAGTTGAATCATGGCAAACACCTAGTGATGCAAAAGAAGTGCGCAGATTTCTGGGATTGGCTGGGTATTACCGCTGATTCGTGCGAGGATTTGGCATCATTGCCAGGCCCCTGTTCAACCTGCTCAAGAAGGGTCTGCCGTTCGTATGGACCGACAACACCAACCAAGCTTTCCTGCTCCTGAAACAACAACTAGCTTCTGCACCAGTGTTGGCACTTCCGGATTTTAGTAAACAGTTTACTGTCGAAACAGATGCGTGTGATCGAGGCATTGGGGCAGTCCTACAACAAGAAGGGCATCCTATTGCTTTCATGAGCAAAGGCCTGAGCCCGCGTTACCAAGGGATGTCCACGTACGAAAAAGAGTACCTTGCCATTGTGGTGGCTGTTGACCAATGGCGCCCTTATCTGCAGCACAACGAGTTCATCATCTATACGGATCAGAAGAGCCTCATCCACCTGGAAGAGCAACGGCTAACTACCCCATGGCAGCAACGAGCTTTCACAAAGCTACTCGGGCTCCGCTACGTCATCCGTTACAAGAAGGGATCTGAAAACACAGCCGCGGATGCCCTTTCCCGTGCGCATACACCTGATCTGCTGTTTAACATCACCACCTGCCGTCCCAGTTGGCTCGAGGACGTGGCTGCCAGTTATCATAGCAACCCTCAAGCCCAGAAGCTTCTGGAACAATTGGCTATCAAGGAGGATCCAAAACAACGTTTCACTCTGGAGCAAGGGATTCTGCGATTCCGCGAGAGAATTTGGCTCGGGGGCACTACAGCTATGCAGCAGAAGATTATCTCTACATTCCATGACAGCCCCATGGGCGGGCACAGTGGATTTCCAGCCACCTTTCGGCGGATACGGCGTCTTTTTGCTTGGCCCAAGATGAAGGCGCACATTCTGCAGTACGTGCGTTGCTGCTCGGTCTGCCAACAAGCTAAACCGGACAGGTCAGCATCCCCGGGCTTGTTGGAGCCCCTCCCAATTCCTCATCAGGCCTGGGACATGATCACCATGGACTTCATAGATGGCCTGCCACAGTCAGGGAAAGTCAATTGCATCTGGGTGATCGTGGATAAGCGCACAAAGTTTGCCCACTTCCTGCCTTTAGCTCATCCGTACACAGCCTCCAAGGTGGCACTTCTCTACATGACAAGCATCTACAAGATTCACGGTTTCCCGCGCTCTATCGTCTCATATCGTGACCCGGTGTTCACCAACCACTTTTGGCGTGAGCTATTCAAGTACGCGGGCACAGAACTGCGCATGAGCTCCGCTAACCACCCTCAGACGGACGGCCAAACGGAACGGGTGAACCAGTGCCTAGAAACGTATCTGCGCTGCTTCGTCCATGCATGTCCGAGCCGCTGGAGTCATTGGCTTCCACTAGCACAGTTCTGGTACAACTCCTCGTACCACTCCAGCATTTGGATGTCGCCATTTAAGGCTATGTTTGGTCAGGAACCACGAACTTGGGGCATCTCACCCACTAACGAGTGCCCAGTGCTAGCTCTTCAGTCCTGGCTGGAGGAAAGAGCGGTGATTCAAGACCTCCTACAGCAGCAATTGCATCGAGCACAGCAGCATATGAAGTCACAGGCGGACAAACGCCGATCCCCAAGGACCTTCTCTGTGGGCGACCAAGTCTACCTCAAATTACAACCGTATATTCAAACATCGGTGGCCAGAAGAGCAAACCATAAACTGTCCTTCAAATATTATGGGCCATTCCAGGTGATCGCCAAGGTCAACGAAGCAGCTTATAAACTGGAACTCCCATCAGGCTCTCAAGTGCACACAGTCTTCCACGTGTCTCAACTGCGACACTGCCTTCGCCCGGGTACAAACTCTTCAACTGTACTTCCACAGCTTACTGACATCCCTGCCGTTCCTGTGGCCGTCCTACAGCACCATTGGCGCAAGAAGAATGGCTCAATGATCGAGCAAGCCCTGATTCGTTGGTCGAATCAAGCTGTTCTCGGCGACACCTGGGAAGACAAGCTCGCATTGCAGGCTCGGTTCCCTGGAGCAAAGGCTTGGGGGCAAGCCTCATCCCAAGGAGGAGGGGATGTCAGCGCTCCCACACCAGAACCACGCCCTGGCGCTGACGAGCCGGGCCCAGCCGGCAGCGACTCGCTGCGCTCGTCCACTGCCCAGAGGCCGACCCGCACCAAGAAGCCCAACGAGCGCTACACTGGGCCTGAGTGGGCCCAGTAGGCCCAACTGCGTCGGTACTTAAGCAACGGCGACGAGAGGATCGGTATCCAGTGGATCAGGAACCTGGCGGCGGCACGAACCCTAGTCCCTAGCTGTTCTTCCCTTCCCCAATTCGTGTATCTGAGCTTGTAACCGAATCAAAGGACAGTCTACTACCAATAGATCCTTCCACCGCTATCCATACCCTTACAGAGTTGGCAACAAAAAAAAGCATGCGTTCATCATCAAGGACATCATTGATAGTATGGAGGAAAGAGATTCTTGCATTAGTCACACTCGTCGAAACTGTAATAATGCTAGTCACTTCATGGCTACTTTTGCTAGTTTGCTGTGCCGAACTGTGGTTTGGCTAGGCTTTGGCCCAGAAGAGGTCGTGAAAATTATTAGATGAGATTATAAGACCGAACTTTGAGTAATACGAGAACTTTTTCGAAAAACAAAATACCAGGTTAAAACCATCACAATTTGCTGAGCTGCACAACTGCATATATGAGTTCTTCTGTCTTTTTGTGCTTCAGGATAACAAGGAGTGCTTTTCCGACGACGTTTTGCCCAATGGCTTCAGCGTCGGCAAGGGAGACATCGTGTTCTACGCACCCTACGCCATGGGCCGGATGGAGCGGCTGTGGGGCGATGACGCCATTGTCTTCCGGCCCGAAAGATGGCTCGACGAGCGCGGTGTGTTCCTGCCGGAGAGCCCTTTCAAGTTCACAGCTTTCCAGGCTGGTCCAAGGATCTGCTTGGGAAAGGAATTCGCGTACAGGCAGATGAAGATCTTCGCGGCCGTGCTGCTCCGCTTCTTCGTGCTCGCGTTGCATGACAAGGATGCCAGCGTCAACTACAGGACCATGATCACGCTCTACATCGACCAGGGTCTCCATCTTACGGCTACGGCGAGAGGCATCGTGTAGCCACCTTTGTACTCAAGATACGCATACATACGCGATTGAATGTCTCTTTTTTCTAGAATCTCGTGATTGAATGTCTCAAGTATTGAACCTTAGCCCGGACATGGAAGTGGATCCGTATGAACATATATTTTGTGAACTACCTTGTTTTTACATTCGGATGACACGTATGAGCAGCTTCTTTAAAAAATCAAACCCCTTTTAAAATAGAATTTTCTCGTATACAGGAGTACTTTTAAATATGACATAAATATTTAAGAAATGTTCATGTCATTTGAAAAATATTCATAATAATGTAAAATATGTTCTCATAATTTTTATAAACTGTTCACAAATCAAAATTGTACATGACATTTAAAAATGTCCAGGCATTAACAAATATGTTCATGAAATTTTAGGAAATGCTCACGAAATATTAAGATTCTTCATGTAGTTTTAAAAAATGTCTATGTCACTTTAGAAAAAAAAAGTCATAAACCCTTAATGACGTTTTTGCAAGTTTTAGCAAAAATGTTGATGGCATTTAAAAATATGTTCAATGCAATTGAAAATAATTATTTTGTACTAAATAATATTCAATGTGTATTTTTACAACATTTGAACATGTAATCGGTTGTATTTGCAATGTTTATTTGAAAAATATGTTTAGCGTGCATTTCAAAAAACGCCACTTCCACACAAAAATGCTCAATGTGTATTCTTAAAAGTTCACATGTATTTATTTTTTCCAAATGATAACGCCCACACGTGTGGCACAAAGCAACATGGCCAAAACGCCTCCATTATCATTCATTTTGCCACATCAAAACATATGACATCAGCGGGAGTCTTTTTATTTTTCGGCTTAAAAATATTTTATCTCCTAATTAAAATATCCAATTAAAAATCTGTTTTTACCATTAAAGCCGTCTCGACGAGATCTTCAAAACTAGATCCCATATTGATATGTTTCAACGAATTTTTTTTAACCAAAAGTTGACATGGTGTTTACACTGTAGTTGCCATATTTTTTACACTAAAGTTGCCATATGACAACTTTAGTTTGTTGATCATAATAATTTTAGTATTTTGACCATGACAATTTCATTATTTTGACCATAAATTAATTTTTTATGAACCATGGCAATTTTAAGTGCATGTATCATGGTAATTTTAATTTTTGGTTCATGACAAGTCTAGTTTCTTAATTCCCTATTTTATAATATGTCTAAATTTACTTTAAAATATAGAACAAAAATAGCTGAAACATATCATGGCAAGTTCAGTCTAAACACCATGGCAATTCATGTGTAATAGACATGGCAACTTTTAATCCAAAAAAAAGTTGTCAAAACATATTGATATGAGATCAAGTTTCAAAGATCTCGTCGCGATGGATTTAATGGTAAAAACAGATTTTCAATCAAATTTATCATTTAAAAGATAAAACGTTTTAAAAACTAAAAATCTAAAGAGATCCACATGCATGCAATGACGTGGCAATCTGTTTATGTTTAGAGACGTGTGGTGCACCCCCTTCCTGCCACACATGTGACAGCTATCGACGTCCTTATTTTTTGGATGCCGATAACGGTCACACGTGTGGGCGTTAAGGGGTTTGCCCACACGTTTTGTGTGTCTAAGAAGATCGGCCCACACGCCTATGTATGGGCAAAACAACTAGCGTTCACACGCCTCTTTTTTTCCTTGCGGTCCCTCTCACACGCTTGTGTGTGGTAAAAATGCATAAGGCCCACACAACCTCTCTCAGCCACCTACCTCATGGTCCCGCACGCCCCGCGTGACAGTCACCACGCGTCCCCGCAATTGTCATGGTCCGGACCCTCTTTAATATCCGTTTAACTGCAGTTGCCATGTCGAACAACTACAGCTGTCATGGTTGCCCAACTGCAGTTGCCATGTACGGTATGGTCTATTGTAGTTGCCATGATTTCAAAATTTTAGGAGTTGCCACCTACTGACACTAGGTAGTTGCCATGTATGGTCTGGTCTACTGCAGTTGCCATGATTTCAAAACTTTAGGAGTTGCCACCTAGTAACACTAGGCAGTTGCCATGTAGCACTATAAAAAGGCATGGCAAAAAAACATGTTCGGGTAAAAGAGAGAGTTGTCATGTGCTCACAAGCACGTTAGGGCAGTTGCCATGTATAAAGAAAGAGTTGCCATCTGCTTACGTGTACGCTAGGACAGTTGCCATGTACCATGCAAAAACACATGGCAACTCAAGGAAAAATAAAGTTGTCATCTATTTACAAGCAAAGCTGGGGCGGTTGTCATGTATCCTGCAGAAATACATGGCAACTGACAGCTTTGGGCGTGGATGAGGAGACGGGCGTGGGGGCGAAATGATAAACACCCACACACCAACCCCTTTGTGTGCGTGGAAACTGATGTGTGGGCGAATTGCTAAACGCCCACACACCAGCCCCCCGTGTGGTGAAAAAAAGACGTGTGGGCGACCGGATGAATGCTCACACATCAGTTCAGTCCTACATGGCATGATAAACATACCAAGATTCGTACACCCACAAACAGACACGGATCCATGCGTGTGGCGAGATGCAAACGCCCACACAGATGAGCGTTAGTGTTTCCGTATTTTTTAATAAAGTCACCCAAAGGAAACCAAAAGAACAAATAAAGAAATAACAAAAAACAGAAAATAAAAACCGAGGAAAACTCGTAAAAACTGATAGAGTGAAACACAGAAAAGCAAAATAAAAAACCACGCGGTTCGCTACATCGGGTCAAAGTTCCAAAAACCAATTTGGAGTACAAAGCCGTGCAATTGGGCCAGCCCAATAAGACGAACACTCTAGGTTAGGCTCCCGTAGATTTCTGCGGCGACTATTTGTCGCATTAAGTGAGTCGCTAGGAAGCTCTCGCTAAAGGTCTGAGGTAATCGGGCCGGCCCATGATAAAAAACCGATAGAGTGAAACACAGAAAAGCAAAATAAAAAACCACGCGGATCGCTAAATCGGGCCAAAGTTTCGAAAACCAATCTGGAGTACAAAGCCGCGCAGTTGGGCCAGCCCAATAAGACGAAACATTATAGGTTAGGCTCACGTAGATTCCTGCTGGAGATCCTATGTGACACTCTTTGCGTCAAAGAGTTGATACTTTGCACAGGGGATGGCTCGCCCGGGCCGGCCCATTTGACATTCGCGTGCTGGAAAATGGAAAAGCGACAAAAACTGATTTCTGCTGGAGATCCTATGTGACGCTCTTTGCGTCAAAGAGTTGATACTTTGCAGACGGGATGGCTCGCTTGGGCCGGCCCATTTGACGTTCGCGTGCTGGAAAATGGAAAAGCGACAAAAACTAAGAGCACTGCTCCCCCGACTTCCTAGTTTTCTGCGCGCTATGCCAGCCGCTGCGATACAAAAGCTCTTGTGCTAGATAGACAGCGCAACACATGAAGAAACGGACAACAGTAGCCAAAAGTTGAACATTTGCCCTCCTGCTACTAATCATGGTCGCTAGCCACTATAACTCTAGCGTATCTGCGTCTCAAATGACAGCCCCTTCAGTATGAACTATAAGCAGCAGCAGATTTATCCTAAAAAAAGCAGCAGCAGATTAAACTTCATTGAAATTTTGAACGTGAATTTCCTTTTTTAAAAGGTAAATATATTTTGAAAGTAGAATTTTCAAAATTGCGAAAAAAAACTAAAACTCAAACATTTTATGTACAAGCGACATTTCTAGGAATCTCCAAAAAATGAAAAAGGAAAAAAACTAAAAAAATACATTCTCTGAAATTACGAACAATTTTTAAAAAGATGCAAACATTTTATATAAAACATGAACATTTTTCGAAATTGTGAACAAGCTTTTCCAAAATAAGAACATTTTTAGAATTTATGAAAAAAGTTTGAAAACAAGAACGTTTTTTTCAAATTTGGAAAGCTGGAACATTTTTTTGAATTTGCGACAAATGTTCATGTTTCTTTGTGCACAAAATTTAAAAGTCGGTACACTTTTAAAACTTGTTCAGGAATATGTATATTTTTTGTGAACTTTTGGAACAAATTTTGAAAGTGGGTTCCAAACATTTTCAAAACATGAATTTTTTAAAAAAAATTGAGAAAATTTTGAAAGTGAGAACATTTATTGATATTCTCAAACCTTTTTTGAATTTGCAAAAAATATTTTCAAAACATGAACATTTCTAAAATTTGTGAACAAATTTTGAAAGTAGGAACATTTATGGAAATTCCGAACATTTTATGAATTTGCAAATATATTTTCAAAACATGAACATTTTTAAAATTTCTCAACAAATTTTGCAACTGGGAACATTTTCTGATTCTTTTAAAACGTGAAACTTTTAAAATTTCAAATTCTATATAGAAATTTTTAGAACATTTTTTATAAGAATCGAACAAATATTTGAAATCCTAATTCTTCTGGAATTTCCTTAAAAAATTGTAAAGTAGGAACATTTTAAAAATATGTACAAAATCTAAAAAATGGACACA